AAAAAAAAAAAAAAAAGAATAGCTGTTTCCTAGGCTGACTAACGGATTAAAATTTCCCAATACTACGGCATATGCTAGTCACAAGTCCGAAGTTGTAGAAGAACCAGTAACTCATGAATTGGCCTTAGCTTGCTCTTGCACTTGCTTACTTGCTTGCTTGCTTCTTACAGAGGGCGGATGGAATAACTCAGCATTCCTTCCTTCCTCCCTCCACTGCAACACAAGTTACATAGGTGATGATGTGGTAGTTGATTGATCGGCATCCCCTCAGCACCCAGCTCACTGCATTGCACACAGTAAGCAGTCAGTAAATGATGGATGAGTATAAGGAGTTACCTTCTCAGGGTAGCCTGGTTATTTTACCATCCCTTTACTATTCTAACAAAAGAGGACAAGGTAGAATGATTAAAGGGACGATGTCAGTGTCTGTTTCCTTTGGAGCATCAACTCAATACTGTGATTGGTACACAGTTGATTCAATACTTTTTGAGCACCTACCATTTTGTTGCCTGCAATACACCTTCCCTTTTGGTGCAGAGGCATGAGAAGAATTCTGCCTGTTGACACCCTTTCTGAATGCCATTTTAAAATTCTTAACTACCTTCTCCCAACCACACACACACAAGTTATCTTCCTCTCCCACACTCTTGTCTCTTTCTCTTTGTATTTCAGGGTGCCTAACATATCAGAAGATGGACCCAAGATCCATAGAGGTGCTTGTGACTCAGATCAACTGCCCTCCCCAGGAAACCTGGTCTCTCTGGAAACCTTGATTAAACTGCTTTTTCTGACACCTCTTCCTCTACAACCCTTGATTGTATCACCACTGAAACTTCAGAACCAACTCTAACCATCCTCACCTCCAGGACTAATGGGAATTACTGACAGCCTGATGGCTACCCCCAAGTCAGTTTCCCTGCATACTTTACTACAAATCTGACCGTGTTCCCATATTTACTGAGTAAACTTGATGAAATTTACCTAGTCCTGTGTCCTAGATGTATCAGGGAGAGGGAAGGGAAAGAATAAAGGGAGTTGAGAGCTGGGATAGGAATTAGAGGCAAAGGGCTTATGTAGGGAGCAGAGAGCTAAAATTCTAGTCAAGCACCTCTTTCTGAGGTGATGGGGGAGTACACTGCGAGTGAACTCTACTAGAGAAAGCACGGTGTGGTAAAAGAGAACCAGGCTTGGATTCAGAAATCACCATCAGCACTTGCTGTTTGACCTTAAATTCCTCATCTGTAAGATTAAAAGGTCTCCGCCGGGCGTGGTGGCTCACGCCTATAATCCCAGCACTTTGGGAGGCTGAGGCAGGTGGATCACCTGATGTCGGGAATTCGAGACCAGCCTGATCAACATGGAGAAACCCTGTCTCTACTAAAATACAAAATTAGCTGGGCCTGGGGTGGCACATGTCTGTAATCCCAGCTACTCGGGAGGCTGAGGCAGGAGAATCGCTTGAACCTGGGAGCCAGAGGTTGCGGTTAGCCGAGATTGCGCCATTGCACTCCAGCCTGGGCAACAAGAGCGAAGCTCCGTCTCAAAAAAAAAAAAAAAAGAAAGAAAGAAAGAAAGAAAAAAGATTAAAAGGTCTGTAAAGTCCCTATTAAGCACCACGAGTATAAAGGGACTCAAACTGACCTCTGTAGATTCTTGGTTCCAGCTTTTTTGGGGTTTTTTTTTTTTTTTTTTTAGATGAAGTCTCCCTCTTGTCCCCCATGCTGGAGTGCATGGCGCGATCTCGGTTCACTGCAACCTCCACCTCCCGGGTTCAAGCGATTGTTCTGCCTCAGCCTCCCTAGTGGCTGGGATTACAGGCACCCGCCACCATGCCCGGCTAATTTTTGTATTTTTAGTAGAGACGGGGTTTCACCATGTTGGCCAGGCTGATCTAGAACTCCTGACCTCAGGTGATCCACCCGCCTCGGCCTCCCAAAGTGCTGGGATTACAGCGTGAGCCACCGCGCGGCCATCTTTGCTCCAGCTTTAAAGTGGTTACATTTACCTGTAGTCCCAGCTACTCCCTAGGCTGAGGTGGTCAGTTGAGCCCAGGAGGTCGAGACTGCAGCGAGCCATGATTGTAACCCTGCATTCCAGCCTGGGCAACGGTGAGACCTTGTCTCAAAAATAAAAAATAAAACTGTTACACTCATTTATCATAATAGCTTCTTGTTGCTTTTGCCCGTTACCAAAAACCACGGGCCACACTAGACGATTTACATAAAATTTAACTCAACAATTGGGAGTAACGCTATTCTCATTTTATAGTTGAGAAAATTGAGGCTTAGAGAAATTAAGTAGGTCGGGCAAGGTGGCTCACGCCTGTAATTCCACAACTTTGGGAGGCTGGGAGTGGGTGGCGAAGGGCGGGGGTTGCTTGAGCCCAGGAGTTCGAGACTACCCTGGCCAACGTAGTGAGACCCCCCCCCATCCCCATCCCCGGTCTCCATTAAATAAATATGAGAAGTTAAATAATCTTCCCAAAATTACATAGTTAATGGCAGATCCAGAATTTACACAAGGTCTGATTCCCCAGTCTATGCTCTTAAGTTTTGTTACTTGCTGTAAGGACCATGCAAAATAAAATGTATAGTTAAAGGGAACTTACTAACTGCCATTTCCTGTCTGTTTTTCTCCCACTCTCCACCTCAAAAGTTCACCTACCCTTGTCCTCAAAGCCACAGGACGCATAATTGCTATTTTTGGGTTTCAGCTGAAACGCCACGGGTCTGGGGGGATAGCGAGGGTGTGTTACACTTTCGGTCTTCCGGTCAGCCGGAACCACTCACACCGCTGCTTGTGCTGTGTGGGGGGTAACTCTTCGGAGTTCCTGGAGGTGGTGCCAGACTAGAGTGGCAGCTGTAGTAACCAATAGACACGGACTTTGTTGGACCAGAAACCAAGGAAGAATTATGTGTAGGAGAAGCGGCGATAATCTGAGGATGCAGGCACGGGTGTGAAGGAACATGGGACTGTATCAGAGGTGGCGGCGGCTCCGGCTCCAAGGTTTACAGGCTTGCAGGCTACACACGGTGCGTGAGGCACCCCCAAAGTTCCGATCCTCATCAGACCCAGCCCAGCCGAAGTCCCCAGATTTTTATGTTAACCCAGCCTCATGCCACTCCTCCTCTCCCTGGTCCTCCGAGTCCCCAGAAAAGGTCTCATATCTAAACTCGTTATCTAATTCTCGAGTTAGCGGTCTGGGGAGCGCAGAGCTTGAAGGGCCCCCAGCGTAGGGTCCTGTATCACCCAGTCCCCTTAAAGAGTAGGAATTCGGACGAAGTCCACTTTACCATCCCAAAGTGCCATCATCCCCAATTCTAAGAAAGAATGATGGGACGTGTGTTACCTGCTAATACATCTTTCCCTCCAGGCAGTTGTGTCGACCCCTCCACGCTGGTTGGCAGAGCGGCTTGGCCTTTTTGAGGAGCTGTGGTCTGCTCAGGTAAAGAGATTAGCAAGCATAGCACAGAAGGAACCCCGGACTATTAAGATATCACTTCCTGGAGGCCAGAAAATTGATGCTGTGGCATGGAACACAACCCCCTACCAACTAGCCCGGCAGATCAGGTAACAGGCCCATCCTGTAACTACCAGGATTATCCTTCTGCCCTTTTACTTTCTCTTCACTTGAGCAGGGGAAGAAAACTTGGTCTGCTTGTTTCTGTTCCATGCCCATCAAGATAACCTTTCTCAAAGATTTTGTTTTTGTTTTTTGTTGTTGTTTTATAGAGACGGGGTCTCTCCTATGGGGAAAAGAAAGACAGATCAGCCTGTTACTGTGTCTATATAGGAAGAAGTAGACATAAGAGACTCCATTTGGTTCCGTATTTGAGATGCTGTTAATCTGTGACCCTACCCCCAATCTTGTCCTTGCAAGAGACATGTGCTGTGGTGACTCAAGGTTTAATGGATTTTGGGCTGCGCAGGATGTGTCTTTGTTAAACAAGTGCCTGAAGGCAGCTTGCTGGTTAAAAATCCTGCCCGTCCCTGGGCAATGGAACATCTCGGTGTGACACCCAATTGTACACTCTGTTTACTGAGATAGGAGAAAACCGCCTTACGGCATAAGGTGGGACTTGCTGGCAGGACTTGCTGGAGCAATGCTGCTAAAAGGTTTATGGAGATGTTTGTATATGCATATCAAGGCACAGCATTTTCCTTTGAACTTACTCATGTCACAGAGATCTTTATCCATATGTCTTACTGCTAATTTTCTCCCTAAAATGATCCTACTGTCCTGCCACTCCCTTATCTTTAAGATGGTAAAGATAATTATCAATAAATACTAAGGGAACTCAGAGACCAGTGCAGGCGTGGGTCCTCTGTAAGCTGAGTGCCGGTCCCCTGGGCCCACCTTTTCTTTCTCTATACTTTGTCTCTGTGTCTCATTTCTTTTCTCAAGTCTCACCTTCCACCTAACGAGAAACGCCCACTGGTGTGGAGGGGCAGGCCACCCCTTCACTCTCCATGTTACCCAGGCTAGTCTTGAACTCCGAGGCGCAAGCAGTCCTTCCATCTCAGCCTTCCAAAATGCTGGGATTACAGGCATGACCCACCAAACCCGGCCTGAGATTTGTTTTATCTGTATTAGTTTCTGCATCAAGAGTCTCTGTCCTTTCATTGGGGAAAGAAATGAAAGCTTCTGTTGCTCTGGTAACTCATTTCACCTTTGCAAGTTTACAGTTGCTGAGAGATGAGCAACTTTCTCCCCACTGTGGATTGTAACCCTATCTTTTTTAAATCATTAATTTACTTTTTAATAATTGATACATAATAATTGAACATATGAACGGGGTATATGTGATGTTTTGATACATGCATACAATATGTAATGATCAAATCAGGGTGTTCAGGATATCTGTTACCCAAAACGTTTATCAATTCTTTGTATTGGGACCATTTCAAATCTTCTAGCTATTTTGAAACATACAACAAATTATTATTAACTGTATTCACCCTACTCTGCTGTGGAACATTAGAGCATATTCCTTCTGTCTAACTCTATTTTTGTACCCATTAGCTAACCTCTTCATCTTCCCTCCCCCATCCTTCCCAGCCTCTGGTAACTATCACTCTATTCTCTACCACTGTGAGATCAACTTTTTAAACTCCCATATAGGAATCAGAACATGTGATATTTTCCTTTTTGTGCCTTGTAACCCTGTCTTTTTCTTCATTCCCACCTCCTACTGCTGAAGTTCAACACTGGCAGATACTGCAGTGGCTGCTCAAGTGAACGGAGAACCTTATGATCTGGAGCGGCCCTTGGAGACAGATTCTGACCTCAGATTTCTGACATTCGATTCCCCAGAGGGGAAAGCAGTAAGTTTCTTTCTTATCAGGAATGCAGTGACTACTAAAACAAGAGATATTATAGCAGGAAATTCTAACATTTTATTCTTTTGCCTCAGTTTCTCCATTTGCAGTTGGGAAGAAGTCTATCACAGACTATCTTGACTGACTGTTTCTGGTTAGGAAACTTATGGTGAAAGTTTTTAACTTAGCTTCGATCTATTAAGCAAACATTTGTGCTAGTGAAAGGGAGAGAGATGATTTGTTGAAAAACAAAAGGATAAATATGTAAATTCAGCCTCCTCAACTTCTGAGCACGTACATTATAAGTCATCTGTAGTGTATATTCAATTCTCACATGGCTTATACAGCTGAGCACACAACCTGGTCACCTCCCCACCTTGTCTTCTTCATGTCAGCTCAGGTAACGTAGACCTTGCCTATTAGGATCCAGAAAAACAAGAGTTCTCCTGCCATCTATGTGTAAATAGTGACCAAATCCAAGAGTAATAGTTGTATCGCACTAGATTCAGGGGACAGAAACAGAGACCTAAGTAACCACTGTCTTAAGAACATAGCATATTCTGACCAAGCACCGTGGTTCACGCCTGTAATCCCAGCACTTTGGGAGGCCAGGCGGGTGGATCATCTGAGGTCAGTAGTTCAAGACCAGCCTGGCCAACATGGTGAACCCCCGTCTCTACTAAAAATATAAAAATTAGCTGGGTGTGGTGGTGAGCATTTGTCATCCCAGCTAATTGAGAGGCTGAGGCAGGAGAATTGCTTGAACCTGGGAGGCGGAGGTTGCAGTGAGCTGAGATCGCGTCATTGTACTCCAGCCTGGGCGACAAGAGTGAAACTCTGTCTCAAAAAAAAAAAAAAAAATTATTCTGAAGCCCTAAAAGCTTACAGGAGCAGCAGAAGACTGACTGGCCTCCAGCTTCTATACTTTGCAACTGGAAAGCACCAAGGATTAAGGGGTGGGGCTGGAGCTTCTATACACTGAAAGAAGAAAAGATACTGGCCTTCTTTCTTTTCTATTCAGTCTTTTTTTTTTTTTTCTTGAGATGGAGTCTCACTCTGTCACCCAGGGTGGAGTGCAGTGGCATGATCTCGGTTCACTGCAACATCCGCCTCCCGGGTTCGAGTGATTCTCCTGCCTCAGCCTTCTGAGTAGCTGGGATTACAGGCGCACGCCACTACACCTGGCTAGTTTTGTATGTTTTAGCAGAGACGATTTCACCATGTTGGCCAGACTGGTCTGGAACTCCTGACCTCAGATGATCCACCCGCCTCGACCTCCTGAAGTGTTGGGGTTACAGGCATGAGCCACTGCGCCCAGCCCTTTTTTTTTTAAGCTTGTTACTTTTTAGTAGATCTCCGAAATCTAGGATCCCATTTTGTGGTAGTTACTCCTAGAAGAAACATACCAGTTTTCCTATCAGCTTTTGTGAAGAAGAGCTAAGAGATCTAGAGGTTAGGGACAAGTTTATGAACTTGTGAACCCCTTTTTTGTCAACCCAGGTGTTCTGGCACTCCAGCACCCATGTCCTGGGGGCAGCAGCTGAACAATTCCTAGGTGCTGTTCTCTGCAGAGGTCCAAGTACAGAATATGGCTTTTACCATGATTTCTTCCTGGGAAACGGGAGGTGAGTAATGAAAGGAAGGAGGAGAATGATTCTGGGATGGTTTCTGAGGCTCTTTTCAGGGGCCTTGGGCTTGCTCCATTTGGAGGAGGAAGCTGGAGGAGGAGGGTTTCTCTAGGTCTCAACTATGACAGTACCTCCTTCTGTGCTAGTCCATGTCCCTCTTCTAACTCTGCTTGAAATTTACCTTGGCTGGTGCACGTGTAGTCCCAGCTACTTGGGAGGCTGAGGTGGAAGGATCACTTGAGCCTGGGAGGTTGAGGCTGTGGTGAGCCATGATCTTAACCACTGCACCCAGCTTGTGTGACAAAGCAAGACAATCTCTCAAAAAAAAAGAAAAAGAAGAAACAAATTACCTTGTTACTTGTTAGCTTTCATAAATTCAAGTTTTACTTAATCTCCCTCATTACTATTGTTCTAACTTTGTCCATCCAGATTTCCTGCATTCAACTTTTAACTTCACGCATAGAGCTTTTTCTCCAGCTGTAATATCTGTTACCTGATTTCCTATTTATATTTTCTCTGAGTTTGTCTGTTTTTGCCTATAACTCTAGATTTATCCTGAAGGACAGGACCTTGCCCCCCTAGCCAACAGGTTTGTCACCCAGGTGATTGATGTACCTCATAGAATGCAACCCAACCAATTCTCCTCTTTCCAGGACAATCCGGGGCTCAGAGCTGCCTGTTTTGGAGCGGATTTGCCAGGAACTTACAGCTGCTGCTCAACCCTTCCGGAGGCTAGAGGCTTCACGGGATCAGCTTCGCCAGCTGTTCAAGGTGGGGTGGAGGGAAGAGGTGGCTCTTCCAGGACATCTTTGTGGGAATAAAGACTTTTCTTCAATCTCCCTTCTACCTTTTTCCAGGATAACCCCTTTAAGCTTCACTTGATCGAGGAGAGAGTGACAGGTCCAACAGCAACAGTATATGGGTAAGAGTTGTCAAGATTAAAGCAAATGGAGAGGTGGGGAAGCATTGAAGAAGGCCAGAAATGTGATAAGGGAAGAAAGAAGATAATTTATGTTGATCCAGAAAATAAACGGGAATGGGAATTGATTTTTTTTTTCTTTTTTTTTTTGAGACGGAATCTTGCTCTGTCTCCCAGGCTGGAGTGTGGTAGCGCAATCTCGGTTCACTGCAACCTCCGCCTCCCGGGTTCAAGTGATTCTCCTGCCTTAGCCTCCAGAGTGGCTGGGATTATAGGCATGTGCCACCATGCCTGGCTAATTTTTTTTTTTTTTTTTGGAGGGGACAGAGTCTCGTTCTGTCACCCAGGCTGGAATGCAGTGGCACGATCTCGACTCACTGCATCCTCTGCCTCCCGGGTTCAAACAATTCTTCTGCCTCAGCCTCCTGAGTAACTGAAACCACAGGTGCGCACCACCATGCCTGGCTAATTTTTATATTTTTAGTAGAGACGATGTTTCACCATATTGGCCTGGCTGGTCTTGAACTCCTGACCTTGTGATCTGCCCGCCTTGGCCTCCCAAAGTGCTGGGATTATAGACATGAGCCACTGCGCCCTGCCGGAGAATTGATTTTTAGCTGCCATTGCCCTCTCAGTAGGACAGTTCCTTTCTCTTCACCTCTTTCTGTCAGCTAAAGACCATGAGAGGGAGAAGGCTAGAAGCTAAAGATTCTGAAAATCACTAACTGGCCTCTTCTTTCTCCCAGGTGTGGCACATTGGTTGACCTTTGCCAGGGCCCCCACCTTCGGCATACTGGACAGATTGGAGGACTGAAGCTGCTATCGGTCAGTTGTGGAACAGAGTTAGGTTAAGATTCCTATTTTCATCCGGGCATGGTGGCTCACACCTGTAATCCTAGCACTTTAGGAGGCCAAGGCAGGTGGATCATGAGGTCAGGAGTTTGAGACCAGCCTGGCCAATATGGCGAAACCCCATCTCTACTGAAAATACAAAAATTAGCTGGGCATGGTGGTGGGCACCTGTAGTCCTAGCTGCTCAGGAGGCTGAGACAGGAGAATCGCCTGAACCTGGGAGGTGGAGGTTGTAGTGAGCTGAGATTGCGCTACTGCACTCTAGCCTGGGCAACAGAGTGAGACTCCATCTCAAACAAAAAAAAACATTCCTGTTTTCACTGGGATGAGCAGGAGAATCTGAAGGTGATCCTTTCTGTCGGCCCTTTTTTTAAATGTTTTTTTTTTTTGAGACTGAGTCTCTCTCTGTCGCCCAGGCTGGAGTGCAGTGGCATGATCTCGGCTCACTGGAAGCTCCACCTCCCAGATTCAAGCGATTCTCCTGCCTCAGCCTCCCGAGTAGCTGGGATAACAGGTGGGCACTACCACGCCCGGCTACTTTTTGTATTTTTAGTAGAGACAGGGTTTCACCATGTTGGCCAGGGTGATCTCAAGTGATCTTCTCTCCTCGGCCTCCCAAAGTGCTGGGATTACAGGCATGAGCCACTGCGCCTGGCCCTGTGAGCCCTTTCTTTACTCTCATAAGCTAAGCAGAGAATACAGGAGAAGGAAACTTTGTCCCCACATTCTAAAAACCCCAGTTTGATGGCACATACTGGACAGCCTACTAGGGCCCAGAAGCCAATTCAGATGCCCTAATATGACGTCATTATTAAGGGGGGTGGAGAAGGAGGGTATGAGCAAGCTGGATGGGTTATACAGGGAAGGGTCGTAGAGAGAGGGGGCGTGGTCCAAGAGGAAGATGAACACCATTTGACAGGCACAGGGAGAATACTTTTAGTGAAGGGCATGCTTTTTATGAGAATACTGTTCTGCATGGTGGCTCACAACTGTAATCCCAACACTTTGGGAAGCCGAGGTGGGTGGACCACCTGAGGTCGGGAGTTCGAGACCAGCCTGACCAACATGGAGAAACCCTGTCTCTGCTAAAAATACAAAATTAACTGGGCGTGGTGGCACATGCCTGTAATCCCAGCTACTCGCAAGGCTGAGTCAGGAGAATCGCTTAAACCCGGGAGGTGGAGGTTGTGGTGATCCAAGATCATGCCATTGCACTCCAGCCTGGGCAACAAGAGCAAAACTCCATCTCAAAAAAAAAAAAAAAAAAAGAAAGGAAAATACTGTTCTGGACAAGATGAGTTATTAGATGGAATGGGATGAGTTGCAAGGGAGCAAGGGGAAATGCAGAAGTGTACAGCAAAAAGCTCTGAACTTAGGCTGGGCATGGTGGCTCATGCCTGTAATCCCAGCACTTTGGGAGGCCAAGGTGGGTGGATCACTTGAGATCAGCCTGGCCAACATGGCGAAACCCTATGGCACAGTGGCCTTGGGTAAATCTTACTTATTTTCCCCATCTGTAAAATGAGCCTATTAATTCCTTTTTGTCCTACCAGTAAATTCACCTCGTAAAGATAATGAAAACCAGGCCAAGCGTGGTGACTCACACCTGTAATCGCAGCACTTTGGGGTGACTGAGGCAGGCAGATCACTTGAGGTCAGGAGTTCGAGAGCAGCCTGGCCAACATGTTGAAACCCCGTCTCTACTAAAAATACACAAATTAGCTGGGTGTGCTGGCCTACGCCTATAATCCCAGCACTTTAGGGGACTAACGCAGGAGCTCATTTGAGTCCAGGAGTTTGAGACCAGCCTGGCCAATATGGCGAAACCCCATCTCTACTGAAAATACAAAAATTAGCTGGGCGTGGTGGTGGGCACCTGTAGTCCTAGCTGCTCAGGAGGCTGAGACAGGAGAATCGCCTGAACCTGGGAGGTGGAGGTTGTAGTGAGCTGAGATTGCGCTACTGCACTCTAGCCTGGGCAACAGAGTGAGACTCCATCTCAAACAAAAAAAAACATTCCTGTTTTCACTGGGATGAGCAGGAGAATCTGAAGGTGATCCTTTCTGTCGGCCCTTTTTTTAAATGTTTTTTTTTTTTGAGACTGAGTCTCTCTCTGTCGCCCAGGCTGGAGTGCAGTGGCATGATCTCGGCTCACTGGAAGCTCCACCTCCCAGATTCAAGCGATTCTCCTGCCTCAGCCTCCCGAGTAGCTGGGATAACAGGTGGGCACTACCACGCCCGGCTACTTTTTGTATTTTTAGTAGAGACAGGGTTTCACCATGTTGGCCAGGGTGATCTCAAGTGATCTTCTCTCCTCGGCCTCCCAAAGTGCTGGGATTACAGGCATGAGCCACTGCGCCTGGCCCTGTGAGCCCTTTCTTTACTCTCATAAGCTAAGCAGAGAATACAGGAGAAGGAAACTTTGTCCCCACATTCTAAAAACCCCAGTTTGATGGCACATACTGGACAGCCTACTAGGGCCCAGAAGCCAATTCAGATGCCCTAATATGACGTCATTATTAAGGGGGGTGGAGAAGGAGGGTATGAGCAAGCTGGATGGGTTATACAGGGAAGGGTCGTAGAGAGAGGGGGCGTGGTCCAAGAGGAAGATGAACACCATTTGACAGGCACAGGGAGAATACTTTTAGTGAAGGGCATGCTTTTTATGAGAATACTGTTCTGCATGGTGGCTCACAACTGTAATCCCAACACTTTGGGAAGCCGAGGTGGGTGGACCACCTGAGGTCGGGAGTTCGAGACCAGCCTGACCAACATGGAGAAACCCTGTCTCTGCTAAAAATACAAAATTAACTGGGCGTGGTGGCACATGCCTGTAATCCCAGCTACTCGCAAGGCTGAGTCAGGAGAATCGCTTAAACCCGGGAGGTGGAGGTTGTGGTGATCCAAGATCATGCCATTGCACTCCAGCCTGGGCAACAAGAGCAAAACTCCATCTCAAAAAAAAAAAAAAAAAAAGAAAGGAAAATACTGTTCTGGACAAGATGAGTTATTAGATGGAATGGGATGAGTTGCAAGGGAGCAAGGGGAAATGCAGAAGTGTACAGCAAAAAGCTCTGAACTTAGGCTGGGCATGGTGGCTCATGCCTGTAATCCCAGCACTTTGGGAGGCCAAGGTGGGTGGATCACTTGAGATCAGCCTGGCCAACATGGCGAAACCCTATGGCACAGTGGCCTTGGGTAAATCTTACTTATTTTCCCCATCTGTAAAATGAGCCTATTAATTCCTTTTTGTCCTACCAGTAAATTCACCTCGTAAAGATAATGAAAACCAGGCCAAGCGTGGTGACTCACACCTGTAATCGCAGCACTTTGGGGTGACTGAGGCAGGCAGATCACTTGAGGTCAGGAGTTCGAGAGCAGCCTGGCCAACATGTTGAAACCCCGTCTCTACTAAAAATACACAAATTAGCTGGGTGTGCTGGCCTACGCCTATAATCCCAGCTACCGAGAAGGCTGAGGCAGGAGAGTCACTTGAACTCTGCCAGGAGGCAGAGGTTAGAGTGAGCTGAGATTGTGCCACTGCATTCCAGCCTGGGCCACAAAGCGAGACAACGTCTCAAAAATAAATAAATAAATAAAAAATAATGAAAACCAACTAATGCAGGAGAAAGGAAAAGTTAAAAAGTGCTGTAAAATATAGACTGTTGGCCAGGTGCAGTGGTTCACACGTGTAATCCCAACACTTTGGGAGGCCAAGTTGGGCGGATAACTTGAGCCCAGGAGTTCAAGACCAGCCTGGCCAACATGATGAAACCCCATCACTACTAAAAATAAAAAATTAGCTGGGCGTGGTGGCGTGCACCTGTAGTCCCAGCTACTCAGGAGGCTGAGACTGGAGAATCGCTTGAACTGGAAGGCAGAGGTTGCATTGAGCCAAGATCACACCACTGCACTCTAGCCTGGGCAGCAGAGTAAGACTCTGGTTCAAAAAATATACATACAGGGGCCAGGCGCAGTGGCTCACGCCTGTAATCCCAACACTTTGGGAGGCTGAGGTGGGTGAATCACGAGGTCAGGAGATCGAGACCATCCTGGCTAACACAGTGAAACCCCATCTGTACTAAAAATACAAAAAATTAGTTGGGTGTGGTGGCAGTGGCCTGTAGTCCCAGCTACTCAGGAGGCTGAGGCAGGAGAATGGCGTGAACCCGGGAGGCGGAGCTTGGAGTGAGCCGAGATTGCGCCACTGTGCCCCAACCTGGGTGACAGATAGATACACACACACACACACACACACACACACACACACACACACACAGGCTGTTTCTCATTAGTACTGTTTAACAGTTTTATTTTATTTTATTTTTATTTTTTTGAGACAGAGTCTCACTCTGTTGCCCAGGCTGGAGTACAGTGGCCTAATCTCAGCTCACTGCAAGCTCCACCTGCCAGATTCAAGCGACTCTCAGCCTCCTGAATAGCTGGGATTACAGACGCGCACCACCACGCCTGGCTAATTTTTGTATTTTTAGTACAGACAAGGTTTCACCGTGTTGGTCAGGCTGGTCTCGAACTCCTGACCTTGTGATCCACCCGCCTCAGCCTCCCAAAGTGCTGGGAATACAGGTGTGAGCCACCGTGCCCGGCCTTTCATTAGTATTGTTAAAGGAGACAGCAGGCACAGGCTTTTGGATTTCATGTGGCCAGGAATGGGATATGGTATAGAAGGCTGACTTTTCTAGCAGCTGTATAGGATATTGATAAATGGAGGAATAAAGTGACATTTGACCAGAGCTTATGGTTACTCCTCTAAGCAGTCATTGATTAGAATGGGAAGGAAATAAGTAAAGGGGTAGTGAGAATGGGGAGAAACAAAGATGGCAAGGTAAGGTTAGGCTTGACCAGGTTGTATGTAGGAATCAAGAGTCAGGCAATTTTAACACTGTAATCTAGAAGAAGGGTGTCTAGAGGATGGAGGTGTTCATCCTACTGGTGGGATTGTTGTCAAGAGGCATACCTGTGACACTTAACACTGAGAGTATCATATGAGTCTTGAAAAAGGTTGGGGGCCTTCAGTCCTCATCTTTCCTTTGATCCCCTATGTCCTCACACAGAACTCATCATCCTTATGGAAGTCTTCAGGGGCCCCAGAGACACTGCAGAGAGTGTCAGGGATTTCCTTCCCCACAACAGAATTGCTGAGGGCCTGGGAAGCATGGAGGGAGGAAGCAGAATTGCGGGACCACCGGCGCATTGGGAAGGTACAGAGATTGGGAAGATAGGGAGGGATGGTGATAAGGGTTGGAGAGAGATGACGCAACCTGATTATGAAATTGGGAGCAGGTTCAGTCACATAGACTGAGCAGCTCCGTCAGTTGTTCTGAGTTCCAAAGCCACCTCCTTGCCCTTGAAGTGACCCAATATTGCTATTCCTGACCCCAGGAACAGGAGCTCTTCTTCTTCCATGAACTGAGCCCTGGGAGCTGCTTCTTCCTGCCACGAGGGACAAGGGTGTATAATGCGCTAGTGGCGTTTATCAGGGTAAGGGGACCCAGGTCTAGAGGAAAGAAGACCAGGGGGCGGCTGAGGGCCTAGAAGAAGCTAAGGTGTTTGTGTTAAAAGATGGGGGTTGGGGCCGGGCGCGGTAGCTCACTCCTGTAATCCTAGCACTTTCGGAGGCCAAGCTGGGAAGATGACCTGAGGTCAGGAGTTAGAGACCAGCCTGGCCAGCATGGCAAAACCCCGTCTCTACTAAAACAAATACAAAAAATTAGCTGGGTGTGATGGCAGCACCTGTAGCCCCAGCTACTGGGGAGTCCGAGGCAGGAGAATCCCTTGAACCCAGGAGGGGGAGGTTGCAGTGAACCGAGATCGAGCCACTGCACTCCAGCCCGGGTGATACAGTGAGACTCTGTCTTGAAGAGAGAAAAAAAAAAGAGGGGGGTGGTTTGGAATCATAACCATAAATATTGAAAGTGCTGGTGACCTTTAATACTACAATTGTGTGGTCTGCAGTTGGGGAGCATAGAGATGGACATGGTATTTAATAGGTTGTGGTTGCAATCAGCATGGCCTGAGGGCCCAGGAAGATCACACAGCTGACACCCTACCTGGTTTCCTTCCAGTTACTCTGACCTTCCATTTCTGTACCCTCCTCTCCAGGCTGAGTATGCCCGTCGTGGTTTCTCTGAGGTGAAAACTCCCACACTGTTTTCTACTAAACTCTGGGAACAGTCAGGGCACTGGGAGCATTATCAGGAAGACATGTTTGCTGTGCAGCCCTCAGGCTCTGACAGGCCTGCCAGCTCCCAGAGTGATGATTCTACCAGGCATACCACAGATATACTCGCCCTCAAGCCCATGAACTGCCCTGCACACTGGTAAGCTGGGAGCTAGGGTTACAATCAAGTTGCTAAATATTAAATAATAGAAAGCACCTTGGGGCCGGGCGCGGTGGCTCATGCCTATAATCCCAAC